ATACTGAATCTCAAAGACATATAAAAGCTGTTCAAGTACATCATCGGAGTACTTATGCTGTACAAATATTATGCAAATCAGACGGACATCTTTGCAATTTAAAATTGAAAATTTTCTATAGCATAACCTTGTGGTGTAGATGATAGAATGAGTTGAAGAGTGTTGGTCATGGCTTGGTTTGTAATCAAATTAAATATTAACAATGTATATGATGTGTTATTTACATGTCTTAGAACTAGTATTGAACACGATGCAGAACAATGACCATCACCCTTCAGCCATCTTGAGTTATGATTTTCTAAGACCATGACCTTTAAACCACAATTAGATGCAAATATGATTTTATAAAGTGTCCTTATTTTAAATGACATAAAGTTTATCGGACAGTACCTTCACTGGGTTTGAGCAGACAATGTCTGCGTCTGTTTTGTTAAAACTAACATGTAACCAGATATATACAAGCCTGTACATAGTATTTCTCTCTCATAGCAGTGCAGTTTATAGTCATGTTTTTTTTCATTGTAGCAATATCTTGATTTCAGAGATTCAATTTTAAAATTGTAATTATATATAGAGTTCAATACTACTGTAGATAATATAAATATTTAGACAATGCAATAATTTTCTGGAAAAAAATATTTCAAAGGGAATTTTTATTTTCAAGAAAAATCTTTGCAATTCAGAATATCTAAGATTTAGAATTCCAGAACTGTTTTGAAAAATTGCAGTTAGTATTGCCTACAAAATACCATTCCATATTGCTGTACTTTATAACAAGTTTTTATAAATAATGAATTGAAAATCTTGCAGAGATTCTGGTCATGTGATCCAATATTTGATCACATGATACTGATGTAATTTTTTTTATCACAAACTGCCATTATTGGATAGAAATGTCTTACAAACACTGGATTTTAATCACATCTGTTCTGTAAACTTTCCAGTTACATGTTGATGCTGCAGTGAAATCACCTGATTCATATACTGGTGTTTGTACCAGATGTCTAGGTGAGACTGCTCAATTGTCTTTCCACCTGTGGTCCATGTAGTCAACATGCATAAAAACAAAAGATACATAGAGGGCGCTGTGTTAAATTACAATATCTTTAGATAACCACTGCTAGAACTGTTTACAATGGTAGTTGGTAACCAGACTGGTGAAGGACCATTGGGGTGATAAATACTGGAGTCTGCAATTGTTTAGTCACTTCATGCAGCTTTATAATAATTACTTCTGTGGATATAATTGTGATGTGTTCAACAATTCACCCTGCCTTATTAGGAAGTATAATTTCCAAATAAGGCATCTGAACAGTCTCATTTAAATTGTCAATCATACACAGTCACATGCTACCCAAACTTGCAATGTTATTAGAGTTTCATCAATTATTTTCACTAAATGCAAATTTACCCATCAGGCACCATGATTTTCATATCAGAACATTGACTGTATAATGTTTTCACAATAATACTGCTTGTCTGTTGTATAGACAAAGCAGACTACAGGTGATATTTCTCGCCAAAATTTTAGTGCATTGTACATTTCTCATTGGCTTCAGATCTTGATCATTATTTTTAGAGAAAAAAAATGCAGAAACCAATTATGCAAAATCATTTTAAACATCCGCGTTCTGATTATAAAATTTTAATTTCTAAAAAAACTCTCAAAAACCATTTAAAGTAATTAATTACGGTACTATTATGAAATGATCAGTACACAACTAATTCCTAAATGTGGCAAGACCCAGCAAGAAAGGGAAAGATTTAATGGTGGAAAGTGTACCTTAAAAATTCACAATGATCCAATTTTCCAGAAGTTGCATGAAGTGTATACCTGGTAGTTTCGCGTCAGTAAAAATTGTATCATATTAGTCTATTATAAATCAGTCTCCAAAATTAGCACTGATTTGTATTTTCACATAAGAGCATATGATCCCGATACATGTATAGAAAATATGGTATGTGAAAAATTGCTATTTGTTTTTTGATAACTATATATTGATTTAGCAATTCATCCATTTGTGCCTTATATTATTGATACTATTTCCTTGAAACCAGAATGAAGTTTTAATGTAATATTTGATAATTTCTTTGCATTGTGCATATTAATTTGTAACTCCAGATATTTATTTTGCAATAAAATTTCCAAAAGACTATAAAGTAGAAAATTGTTCTGTCTGCAAAGTCTAATCGTGTGCAAAATATTTAATTTAAACTGGACGTAATCATGATCCAACTGTAAAGCAGTCTCCTGAGTTGAATGACAATTTTGGTTTCAAATACCCTGGGAAAATGTTCTAAGTTCTTTGTGTAATCAGCTGTTCGTAGGCAAGGAATTTTTCCACATAAAAACAATGATTTTTGGCTGGGAATAATTGGGATTTTTTTCTGATTCGTAATCTGAAAAATGTGTTCTCAACTTTTTTCTTTAGTTTCAAGCTGTATTGAAGATTGGTACCCCAAATAGTAATTATCTATCGATAGCTTAATCGCATTTCTAATGATTAGTGTAAATTTACGAAAGTCGCATCTCAGTCTTAAAGATCCAAAAGGAAACTGCTACAAAATTTAGTGCAAAAAATGCAGTAATTATTACAAATTTTTAATTAATTTTAATTTGCCATTCAATGAGAATCTCCCCCTCAAAACATATGCCCAGCAGTGCAAAATTTAACACAAAACTTGCTGAAATATGAAATGAACAGTTTGTCCAACATGCAATAATTCCAGAATCCCTCTGTACTAATTTCACTTAACAAACAAGACAAACTTTGATAATTGACATTAAAAAATTATATATATTTTATTGTTAGATGTAGTAATAACACATAGAACTGGACATAATTTTAGTTTCCCATTTCTATAAATTGAAATCAACAATCAGATATTGTACCAGAGTCCTAGAAATACACCACAATGCAGGCATCAAGTCAGTGACGACCAAAAGGAAATCTTACCCCCAATATAAGAATTAGCAAGGAATTCTTGATTTTATACAAGGTATGTGGTAGATCAGTAGATACATTATAGCACACAGTTAAATGTCTCATTCCAATACTCAATACCATGGTATAACATTCACATGTTAAAGATTGACTTTCAAAAATTACTGAAACCAACACTAGAGGGCAGTGTAACCTGTTCCAGCTTCCAACAAATTGATCATTGGCACCACCCTCAGAAGGATCAGAATTGACTAATTTCTTCAACAATTGCCAGAGTTATCATGATGTTTACAATCTTTCCAACAATAATGCTGCTGCACCGCCTCCACCATTGCAGATTCCTGCCAAGCCTTTCTCTCCAGGTTTTAAATTATGTACCATATGTCCAACAATTCGTGTTCCAGACATTCTGAAAATGAATAAGAATTAGAAACAATTGAGGTTATACCTGGCCATATTTTTAGTTTCCACTGCCAAGGATATGTACTTAATTGACCTGGCAAATTGTGTACAATCAGCTGTGATTTACAAAGTGTGGGTCAAAATACAGAGTGTCAAATGATTTACATGTCAGTATTGTTGCATGATGTTCAAGGCCCCTCAAGTCAACCCAGCTGTGGTGATTTTTAAAAAAAAATTTGAAAAATAGTTTTGCGAAAGATGAGGTCAATGCGAAATCACCACAGACTGGTCTTATTTGCAGCTAATCTGTTGCTATTATTTATTCATGATATGCAGTGACATCACTGAACGGATACAGAAAAGAAGTGGGGGCGTGCACGCTGCATAATGAAGTAAACATTGTGGATCGCGTTAAAGATCAACTTGTCAACAGTGTCAAACTGTCATCTAAACAGAATTGAGCAACTTCAAATGCAATCGATTTGCCGCTTCCGGTCAGAAGGGCAACAAAAAGGTTGTGGCCGTCAGTAAAACCGTCAATTATTTTCTTCTGTGCAGATTGCGCTTCACTGTAACCCAGGCGAGATAAAGCTACACACAGGCTACTTCTCTCCATTAGAATAATTTGTATGGAACGTTATAAATAGTAATTCATTTGTTATGATTGACGATCGAGAAACTTGAAGAAAAGTAAAGTCTTTAGGTACAAAGGTTAACTAGTTTAAAGGTCAAAATACTCTGACTAGATAACATTCTTGCCCGTCATTCTGCTCATAAACATAAAAACTAGTATGAAAACACTAGTTCCTGCTTTCACCACAGAGGGTGTGACAAAAACGTCTAGTCTGGGTGATTTCCAATCTGATTAAAATCTGATGTAGTGTACAGGCTTTAATTATTTTGGCTATAAACTTATTTTAATTTTATTTTTTATTACTTTTGTTATTAATGCCTTTTTATTTTATTATTATTTTACTTTGATTTTGATTTTGTGTTTTTTTTTTTAATTCTGCCCTACATACATCTGACCCGATGCCTATGTAACGAGATTTCAACGAGACCCACTATCGACGATTTTAGTCAACGAATCACAGACCTCCTTCTATAGCGCACATGATGACCGGGCAGAGTCAGGTGGCGAACACACTCAAATAAAATGGCGGATTATACTGACGTTAGCGACCGAGAATAACACGGCTTTTCGGTAAGTTTATCATTGTCAAATGCAACGAAAGTCATTTTTATGTTAATATTGTGGCTCGAATGGTTGAGTTTAGATCGTTATTTTGCGTAGTTATTCTGGGAGTGACGATTTTGTTTCCACCGGTTCGACCGAACACCGGTGTCTTTTTCCAGTCGCTTGCCCTGGAGACGGGTGATGTTTTGTTGACGATCGGGCCAAAATCGTCTACGGTATTGAAGCCTTAGCTGTAAATATTCATCAAAATGTATCAACATTTTGTACATTATACAATAAATCTTTATTAAAGTAATTGAGCTGATTTGGACTGGAATATATTATTTTTTATTTGGAACACATCGCAATTGATCAGGAAATATTGTTTTGCTCCAATTTTCTGCATCGATGCAGTGGGCCGGTGACCGTTATACATTTTAAAATCAGTTTGCATTGTTTAGTATAGCTGTTTACAGTGTTCAAATCATTACGATTTACTTATTTTTTTGCTTCCATTCTAGATAATTATGCTCAGTTTTTGATGTAAAATTGAAGCGATGACTGAATGAACGACCCTTGGCTGGCAAAGATGTATCTGGAAGTGTACACAATATTCAATGTAATGACAAAAATTGTAAAATGCTGTGGAATTTCTTTTGTAAATAAAAATATACTAGCAATTTTCTATTATGCTTTATTCAAGTGGGCAAAATATAATGTACAGACAGATTGCCCGTAGAGTATCGCTACACTGAAAAGTAAGCAACCAACAGCCTGTATAAAAGGGGGGCTGTGATTGGCTGTTACTTACGCGAGATTTGAACGGGACTTACATAGGCGTCGGATCAGATGTAGGTAGGGCGGAAATTAAAAAAAAATCACAAAATCAAAATCAAAGTAAAATAAAAAAATAAAAAGGCATTAATAACAAAAGTAATAAAAAATTAAAATAAGTTTATAGCCAAAATAATTAAAGCCCGTACACTACATCAGATTTTAATCAGATTGGGTGATTTCGTGGTTACAGGGGATTTCGTGTTAACACCTCCATTTCGCTATTTTTTTTTATTTAATTTTAAATTTAAAAAGAAATATATTGCCCAGACTGTGCCAGTCTAATGCATTCTATAAATGCCCTCTTTTTATAATGAACTGTATTTTTAGGATGGATACTACAGCCTTACCCAATAGGATGCCCGATGCTAACAGCACCGCCATTGACATTGACTTTACTGGTGTCTAAGTTCATGAGTTTACAGATTGCTAGGACGACAACAGAGAACGCTTCATTGATTTCAAACATTGCGATATCATCTTGCTTCACACCAGTTTGCTCTAAAACCTGTAAAAAAAAGTCCCTTATTACTGTAGATAGCCTCTCTTTATTAGGTTCTGTTTAACTGTTTAATGTTGCAATAGACTATTTTATGATCATTGCAAAATACCACAATATGCATGGAATCAAATGTAAAAACGGGACAAACAAAGGTCATGGCGTTGTAGTGCTGTCAACACATCGTGTGGGTTTCATCAAATGTAAAAGTATTTTAAGGTATTTTACTTCAATAACATGCATACACATTTGATGATGGTCAATTTTGATAAAGTATAAATCTCAAAACTTTTTTTCTCTGAAAGACCAGCATCACTATAAAAAAGTAATTCTAGTTCAAAATCAAATCATTTGATTTTTTTTCTATAACATACTAAGTCTGAATTTAGGCATCTGTTGTTGTACTTGTTCTGATAATTTGGAGTTAATATACCGATAAACCAGTACAGCAATGCAAGACCTCTCTGGTAAAAATTAGCACATTTGAAGCAGATAATGACATCGCTTACGCTCAGTAATTATGTCCTGGCAAATATGCTAATTTTGTCACAGAAATCAGGGTATTTAGCTAAAAAGCATCTTTTGGTGGTAGGGGCTCTCAATAAAATGCATGAATAGACATTGTCCAAATCAATGCTCTGTGACATGCTTTAATAATTACAATATGTAAGTTAGATCACATATAGTTTTCAATAACACAAAACATTTTATTTTGACTTACCTTTGCCATAGCAGGGACTGGAGCTATAGGAAAATCAATTGGAGCCACGGCAGCATCTCCAAAACCTATCAATAAAATCACAAATTATAAATATCACATCTCACTGTTGTTACGTATGCTGTGATTGGTTGAGACTCTAGTTGCGTTCACGCACAGCTCCTTAGCACGGGCTAAGAGGTCAAATTCCTTAGTCCGTGCTAAGAAAACGTGCGTGAACGCTTAGCACGGGCTAAGGAATGCTAAGTACGGGTTAAATCTGGGCCGAATTTAAGACGCGGTCTAGACCTTAGCACGGGCTAACGAAGTATGCGCGAACGCTTAGCCCAGGGCTAAGCGCCCTCTGAGGCGACCTTTGGGTGTGAAAATTGTCCCATGTTCGTATAACGACAATATTCCACCAGTCATTACTCCGCGCTCGCTTCCACACTAATCGGGTCACTGTAGTAGAGCGTACAGCATCTCCAATCGTAGACAAAATAAATTTGGTTCGCTGTCTACGACATGCATTAATAAAACTCTGTATTCTGTTACGACCGTTGTATACTGTTTATGTGCATCCAAATAAGTTGGGTCCGTCTTCTCTCGCGTTCCTGTGCACGTCGCTTCAAAATTAGAACGAAACATGCCAGCAGCAGAAATAGAACCTCGCGCGTGTCATCCATTTTTCGTTTGTAAATAGCGGCTTACCAAAGGTCACCGACTAATGGCACCCCTTAGCCCATGCTACCGACTGGCCCTCCCTGTGCGTGGACGCAATTGGGTCTAGCCGAAATGCAAATATGCTAGATAAGCCTAAATCAGCTTAAATCTTAGCCCGTACTTTGTGTAACGTGAACACAACTTCTGTCACATGACATTGAATAACAATGGATATTACAGGTATATTGCCCGCCAAGTGAATATAAATGGTATATCACATGGATGACGTCACGGAAACTACTGTGCAACGATACTGCACATAACAAATTGTCATTCGCTGCACTGCTGTCTCGGCCACTGTTGCTTTCAGGGTTGCTTTCAAGATTTTGAAGGAACTTTAACCATCCAAAATAGACAGCGAACATGCAATTAAGTAAAATTTTCTGTTTGTCTGCCCTCGGGCTGTTGGTCATGCCCATAATATTGATCATCAATATTTTGGTCATGACCACCATACCATCCCTTGGGTAGGCAACAAATCATGATATTACCCTCACAAACATGTGTCATTATTTAAATATAACTAATTACACTACAGCTGACGCATCATCATTTAGTCTCATAGCATTAAGTCACAGTAACACCATTTTTGTGAAATACAAAACCTACCTAAAATCCTAGCTAATGGTTTAACATTAAGTCTTGCAGCAGCCTGTGCTGACATTAACACGACAGCTCCAGCACCATCATTAAGTGTACTAGCATTAGCTGCAGTCACGGTTCCACCATCCTTTTGAAAAACTGTTCTCAGTGATGAAAATTTATCAAAATTCACTTTTTTGTATTCTTCATCTTCTTCAACAACAATTTCTGGACCTAAAGAAAATATTAAATTAATTACAAGTGTTTTACTTTTACACAGATTCAATATATGGTTCAGAAATACATCAAAGGTATTTTTGAGTTGCCATTTATGCCTGTATGTTTCATACTAATAGACATTTAACTTCAACGTCTTAAACTTTTTAAAACTTTTTTCAAAGGGGATTAAAATTGTGAGACTACATGTACCTAAACTTTTCAATTTTTGCAATGTTTTTTAGCAAGGTTGAAGTTGAGCAAGCTTGCCCATATATTCCAACTTTCCAAAATTTTTCAGGGGGCTGATGGGATGCAAATTTTGTCAATTTCAAAAACTTTTTCTCAACAGTGGTTTAAGTTGTATGACTGTCCAGGTATTTGTCAGTGCTCTTTAAGTCATTCACTTTTAGGTCAGACATCCCTTATTGTGACAAATCCTGGCACTTTGCATGACCCCTAAAGGTCACACATCCTGGCACTTTGCATGACCCCTAAAGGTCACACATCCTGGCACTTTGCATGACCCCAAAAGGTCACACATCCTGGCACTTTGCATGACCCCTAAAGGTCACACATCCGGCACTTTGCATGACCCCAAAGGGTCACACATCCTGGCACTTTCTGGGGTACTGTCCTGAGAAGAGCAATAATTTCATCAAACCCAACTGCCTGCATTGCAGATATGAAAAAAAAATCATTGAAGGTGAATTTATCTTTCAGAAAATACTAGGATGTGAGACCATCAAGATGAAAGCATAAATTGTGGTCATGAAGACAACTTTCATATATAATTCTAGTCACCATGGCAAAGTGAGCTGACATTACCTTTCCTTTGTGGAATAATGACAGGTACAATTTCTTTCTTCAAAATGCCATCCTAAGGTATTCAAGAAAAGACAGAATGACAACTGATATTTAATCCTCCCAACTGACAAGAGGTTAACTTGTGACAAAGAATTGTAAATAAATTATAACTATCTATCTTGAAATATTTGCATGCTAATGATAATTCTTTTCTTTTTTTTGGTCAAGTTCATCACTCATTGGATACAGATTTCAAAATAAAATTCCAAAAGAAACTGAGAAAATTGTTCAACTGAATGACTACAGCTCATAGAGAAATGAAAATCTTTGGGGAGTGACAGAAAAAAATGTTGAAATATACAGTGGCCATGACAAATTGTACCATGATAATTGAATTCATATGTGTGCGTGTTTCAATTAACATTGCTACAGTAGTCTCAAAGTGCCATGAACAAGTTCAAGTCTGTCCCTCACACTTACAGCAACAGCATCATAAATTACAGTACACAATCATAATTTTAAACTGATAAGTACAGTAGGATGTCTTACCGCTGCAGCTCTTTGACTGTTTTTATAAGATTGTATTGCATACTGATCTTGGGCTTCCCTTCCAATTTCAAGTTTCTTTGCTGTGTTCTCTGCACAGTTTCCCATATGAAATTTATTATATACATCAGTGAGGCCGTCTGCAACAATGCCATCCTGAAAGAAAAAGTTATCAAAACAAGATGGTCGCCAGCAATATATGATGTCATCAAGGAATCATGACAGAATGTCATGACATCACCCACACATCTGTGAAGTATGGAAATTATTTTCATGTGTAATGTGGTGTATCCTTTGGCTGTATATTCAGATGTTACCACAGGTATAGATGAAGATTAAGTTTACCTCTAGTCTATGACCTCCATATGCCGGGGCATCTCGTTTCATCATGAATGGGACATTTGACATACTTTCCATTCCACCAGCTACCATCACATCCTACAAAACAAAGTATCTATTTTTAATAATATGTTAATTTTACATGTAAGTACAACTTTCAGCATCATTATACTTTTTGTACACACAAGAAGAAAACAATTTTAATTAAAATATACTCCGTAATGAAAATCTTAAAAAATATACATACCGTACTCGACCATGTTAGCGCCCATGCCCGGTCAAGCGCATCGTGCGAATCACACAGTTTCGCTAAAGCTGTTCATTCATAACTGGCCCACGAACCCATGCGTGATCGTGTTACAAATAGCTGTATTTCACTGCAGCTAAGTTGAGTCACTTGATTGGGCGTGCCAAGGAGCTGGCGCCACCAATCAGAGTTACTGTATCGTAAATGTGAAGATTCGGGGGAGCTCATCACAGATTAAAACCATGGCGGCGTGTAGGCTTTGCGCTGTTCACCGAAAGGTTGACACGTTTCCAAAAATGTCTTATTCGGACATTGAAAATTGTTAGTGGAAAAGTGAATGAGGACGATGGAATGTCTAAATATTTGTGCAAACTGTGTTTTAGCAAACTGACAAAACTGTCGAACTGATATTGATAACATATTGACTTGCCCAAATTCGGTCGAGGGACTATGTTTGCAACAAACACGTTATTTTCCTCAGATACAGCACTAAGTGCTTTCTTTTGATGTAAGCTCGTTCAGAGAAAAAGCTAGCAACATGTTTATTTGATTCCGCAATTTTTATTTTACCAAGTAATGTGTAGTTTCTTTCGTTAGTTCTGATTGGGTGATGCAAATGAGTCGAAGTGAATCTTATAATCGTTTGAGGGTGTGCGACAAACAGTAAATCGTGGTGAAATCCGCCGAATAAATGGTCCTTGACTGGCGAAGATGGGTCAAGTGCCCACCCCCAACTTTTGCACAATTTTTATAACGGGGTCACATTCGGCAAAGCGCCCACCCCTTCAAAATGCAACTAAATTTAAAACTTGGTCTTCAATAATTGCGGAACGAATCTTGGTAATTATTTTTATATGAAACAGCGTGAATATCGATCACTGTGAATATGTTGTGAATATGTAGAACACAGTAACAGTGCATAAACTACGCTTCGACAATGACCTGTTAATACAAGTAAAAGCAGTAAATATTTCATATCATATTCAGTTTACCTCTCAAAAATGGCTAGTCACCAGTTTTTTTGAAAAACCATGTCGTTTATTCGCTGAAATCAATTCCAACAGATCGTCGATAATTCACTTTCACATTGCATTACCAGAAAGTCTTCGGGAATTTCCGAAGAACTGCCTCGATACAACAAAGCATTCTGATTGGTTAATAACCAACTTGACCTACCGGTATTAGGTCAAAGGACATTGTTGAAGGTCAAATCATGCAAATGCATCATGGTGGAAAGTGAATTTCATTGAGAGTTTGCATACGACAACACATTTGTCAGTGGAGATAATGATGAGAATTCTGACTTTGACTGTTTTCCAACAGACTCTAATATTTTTAATTTCGTAAATTCTGGTGGTACATAATTAATATTGTAATAAAATGCGCATATTTTTTATGATCATTTCTGTGTCTTCATTGTAAAAATCATTGACGACGCAACTAATTTCGTAATTTGATTTTACCTCAAAGGCGTAATCTGTCACATGATGAATCAAAATTTTCATTTGCTCTCTTTTCCGAGGGGGGTGCTCAGGTAAGCACCCACCCCTAAAAAATCGTGATTTTCTGAGTTGCGGCCCCTGGGCGCTAACGCGGTCGAGTACGGTAAAAAACATACAATAATCAAACATCTAGATCACAAACTGGTTAATATAATTACCTGGTGGCCACACATTAAACTCTGGGCTGCCATCATAATAGATTTCATTCCAGAGGCACATACTTTATTGATTGTGGTGCATGGTGTTCCTAAAGATAAGCCTGAAATTCAAAAAAAAAAATCTTAGTCCTTGCATCAACATTTGTACACTCGGATCATGACACGTACTGTAACTGGCTCATGCATACAGAACACAGGACGACAACGACATCTACAACTTCACATCAATCATTTATGTAATATATTAACAAGTTTGTGACTTAACGTCAAAAAAATCCAGTCCGTACAATTCAAAATGGTGGAACACTCTTACTGTTTATTAGCATTGAACTCTGGGTAATTAGAGCAATGACATAATCATACTCAAATAGAACCTTCAAAACATTACAATTTACATGCAAAGTCATATTCAGACAAATCTTCTAGTGATAATAATATGACTAGCTACGAACAAGATTTATTTTATGAATTACTGGTATTTTATTATGTATTCAGACAAAAAATATGCAACACTGCAAATTGCAAATTATTGTTACACTGTCGAGACATATATTCTTATCTGGTAAATAAACTGACCTGCTCCTAGTACAGCTTGTCTTGTAGGTGCTTGGCCCTGACCAGCTTGCAAAACATTCCCCATGTAAACCTCCTGTACTTCTTCTGGAGCGATTCCTAGCAAATTAATATTCAAGTCATAAATGCAATTCATAATGAGTATACAACCAAATCAGACTGAAGTAAAGTAAGAAGATTAAGCCAGTCTGTTGAAAAGGGATTACCGGTATTTAAGACACTGCTATGCCACTCCACAAACAAGTCCTCATTTTGAGTGTGGACGGGTTCTCAGTCATTGGCTTTCAGATGCAAGGTGCCATGTCACATTCTTTTTTAACATAGAGATAATAATACGTTGTACATAAATTAATTATGGTCAGTTATTGTAAATAGGAAAGTTCCCTCCTGACTATAACTAACCTGCCTTCTCTACAGCATTTTTTATTGCAATAGATCCAAGTCTAGGAGCTGGCACTGATGACAAGGAAGATCTAAAAGACCCAATAGGTGTACGGACAGCACTCACAATAACAACATCCTGTAATCAACGTCAGATATAAAATAAAGCAGAGATTATTCGCATCTCAGAAGTTTAAATAACAGAAAGAAGTCCAGTACTAGCATTGCAGTGGTGTGAATAACAAAAACAGATCCACTATTAACACTGCAGCAGTGTAAATAGTATAAACAGATCCACTATTTGCATCTCAGCAGTGCAATGTTTATGTGTACAAACAACAGTGAAGTGAGGGAAGTAAACAACTTGAAATGTACACTATATTGGGGAAATAATACTAAAAAGAACATTTGTGCCAGCAATATAGTTTCAAGAAACTGTGTAAAATGCAGTGGCCACTTGGAAATATTAGATTAGATGAACAGTAATAAGTTAACACAACCAAAAATGCACATGATAATACATACATAAATATAAACAAAAAAACACCAGCTGCCTTATAAAATTTATAATTGATATAACTTATTGAGATACACGAGATATTCATGGCATATCACCCCACTTTCATACCCTCACTCTAATAACTCCTTGCTATTATATTTTATGTAATGTTCACCACCCCTCCCCGGTTTCAAATACTTCACCCTCTGACACGGCCTCCTTTTTACAACTTACATTGAGTCCCTTCACTGCAGACACATCTCTCTTTATGACGTGGCGGATTGCCTGAAATAACAAAAAGAATAAACATACCTAATCTATTTGTCGTATTTACGAAGACGGTTACAAAGCCACGAGTTGAACAACGTATGCTTCACAATTTAATGAAAAGTAATGCATATTCCAGTAATGAAACCCCATGACCCCAGCCAGAGTTGACATTCAGCGGTTGTTCAACTATATTTTTCAAGTATATACAATCAGTAGGTCGACTGTCATTTCACTAGCATGCAATTCAATTCTGACAACTAAAAAGTGAAATATGCAACTTACGTGATTATTTAACCTCGAGAAAAGAGAACACTTCACCATGTTGGTCGCCATAATGATTCCACAGGGGTGAATTTGAGGTCAACTAGTATGCAAATTAGGATGCTATAACAAAATACTAAAATAAAGTACACCAAAAAAAATTATATAAAAATATTCTACCGTGTTTTATGATTTAAAATCACATTTGAAATCAGAGAAATAGTATACTATTTCACGCGTGTATTACAATAACATCCATGACCTGGTATCATGCAAATATGAACCCGGAAGAAGGTCTCTTGGTGTATACAGGTGAGATCAGCCGTGGATATGAAATATGACTCACATCAACTATTGAGCTTGTCGTATCGTCGATGATATGTACTTTCACTTTTAAACAGCAAGTCGTTGGAGCAAGTATCCGCCTTACTTGAAACGTATAAGCTGCTAAAATGGAAGAAGGACAGCGAAAACAACGTGACGAGTCAGAAGAAGTGGGATCGTCTTCTCTGGCTTCGCTCCCAGCACCCAAGACGGATGTTGTGTACAGATTGCGTGATATAAAACGAAGTCTGGTTGAAGAGTGGACTAAGACTTTTGAAGGATACGATAATATACAGGTACGGGTGAACGAGTGTAATCCAATCCGAGTGTAAATTAATAATGAAATATACGAACGAACAAATGAATGAATGAATGAATGACCGGTATACATACTGTATATAACCATTGTTCAAGACTTTGTTTGATTGTTATCATTGTAAAATTATCCTTTGTAGGTTTCACAAGGTGATATTTTTGAAGGAGCTCCAAGTGCTGATGCCATTGTATGTATAATTTATTCAGACGTTGCCCCCTATCGCTGCCAACCACAAAAATAATTCTTACCTTCTAACTGAATGATTTGAATTATAGCAATGATTATACGTAAAGATTGACTAATCACAGTAGTGACTGTGGATTAAATGACAACTGTTTGTCAATTTGTTTTTGTCTGGCGATTTGTACATGATTTTAAAATCTGAAGAAAAAATCCCTACAAAAATTGTAATTCTGAGCATATCTGTAAATTTTTTGCCTGCACAAATATTAACAGAGAAATTGCTGAAAAATACTTATTCTTACTTTGCTGTGACATTTTGGAGGGAAAATTGTGACATACAATGTGTTGAAGCCTAGGCTGACCAATCAATGATCTCTATTTCTAGGTGTCTCCTGCCAACAGTTTTGGATTTATGGATGGTGGTATTGATGGTGTGTATAGTGCTCACTTTGGATGGCAAATGTGAGTATAACATGCAGAAGTTATTAGGTGTATGATTTATTTAAAAAGGCATTAATATTGGTTAATTTACAACATTTAAAGAAAAATTTGTTTTGCGTACCAGTATCATTTATTGTGTGATACATTCATTCCATATGTATAAAACTTGAACTTTTAGCATAACATGACAATTAGATATGCTGTTTTGATCAAACTGTGTATATATCTATACACCAGTAGGCACTGACTACTGTATGACAATCTTACTGTGAAATGTCTGGTAACTTTTCTACTATATTTTAATTATTTTTGTTTTTTGAAGTACATAATATTTCGTTTTATATTTATATAAACAAGCCATGCATGGCACAGTCCCCGTTAGTTATCAAATTTAAAATATATAGTTTTGTTTATGGTAATATATATGTTTATAGCTGGAACACAAACAAGCTGATACTTGATTATGATGATTTTTTTAACATTAAAATGATTGATATCTTGCATCCGATCATCAACGAGTACTTGTCCATATTGAGAGATATTGCTCTGGAATAGCATTAATTAATACAAAATCGGCCATTTTGAATAAATTTACATCTATAACATGATGATCTATAATATAATGAATATTTTAACATAAGCAGTAAAAACATGTCAGTAATATGGCTCTAGAAGTGCATTCATTAAAAAAAAATGGCTGCCAGATGGCCATTTTGAATCCATTCTGAAGAATTAAATGATGTGCATCAGGAACTCATAATGTCCAGCGTATGTACCAAGTTTGAACAAAATTCATCCATAAATGATTTTTTTTGATTATTTAGCACAAAAATGGCCGCCATTTGGCCATTTTGAATCAGATAGTCAAACTAATATATTTGAATATTTATGTTGCACAGAGGTTATTCCATAAGTTCCCATTTTTGAACTGTGCCCGAATGGAGACTAACAATGCCCACCAGTCTAAGTATCTATAATCCCACCTTACTCATATCAATACATTTATATCAATAATCATAACCCATACATATGTGGTCATTGTCTGGCTAACAATTGTAGTTTCCTACATACCGGTACTTTTTTTATAACAGGCAAAAGCGACTACAGAAAGTAATCAGAGAAGAAAAGGATGGTGAGATTCTTGTGGTAAGTGATTAACAGCAAGTAATACAAAGGAAGCTATAAGCAGAATGCCAGATGTGGATGTAGAATGCTCAGTTAGAGCACTTTTATGATGACATATTTGTTGCATTGCATTGTGGGATATATATGTATATAATTTGTATTCTCTCAAATGGTGCAAACTTACTTCTCCTCATCAATGTTTTTTTTTATTTCAGGGCGATACCGTTATTATCCCAACATTTGAAGGTGGTGCTAAAGAAGACAGTATGGATTGGTCAGCTTTTAATGGTGGTAAACCAATCAAATATCTGATATCAGCGCCAACAATGAGAGTGCCAGAAGTAGTAGCTAAAACACCGAACGCATTTCTTGCATTCCGTGCAGTAATATTGGCAGGTATCTCATCATCATTTTTTGCATTCCGTGCAATAATATTGGCAGGTATCTCATCATCATTTCTTGCATTCCGTGCAATAATATTGGCAGGTATCTCATCATCATTTGTATTCCACCCATGCTTACATCAAACAATGTCACATTTTTTTGTTATCTCTGATGGTAATTGCATGGTTTTTAAGACATGACTCCACCTTTACTCACCAAATAGGCTACAGACTAAACAGAATTGGGCGAGCAGTATGTAAATGAATTTACCTGTACAGTATAGGGCAGGTCATGGTTGTTGATTGAGTTCTGTAAGCAGTAATGTAACATTCAAGTTCATTGCAATAAGAGAAATGTAAACCATGGAACTAGAAATTTTCTATTTTTGTAATAGCGAAAATGTTGGTGTATGATACTGAATTGCATATTAAGTTTATTACATTTGCTTCCACAGAATCTTTAGATCTTGTCTTGTTGCTGTACATAGATGATAAAATGGAGTCATAGTTTTCTGTCGTAAATAATTATGGATTGGTATTATTCAGGGTTAAGTAATAGCAAAAGTTTTTGAACAATACCCATAATTTGTTTACAGTGGAACAGTTTGGCTGGACACGGCTCTTTCCTCAGACATGCAGTTTTTAAGAAGTCGAAAATATCACTTTTACCAAAAATGACAAAAAATATTCATCTAAATTAGAGAATTGAAAAAAATAACGAAATGGAGAAATCTGATAGAGATCCACCTGAGGTACCTATATGTGTACTGTAAATGCATTACTTATTCACTGGGTTTTAATTTTACTATTTTAATTTTACTACTAGTATTTCACTGGGTTTTAATTTTATTATTTTAATTTTACTATTTCACTGAGTTTTAATTTTACTATTTTGATTTTACTAATTTTTATAAGAGTAAAATCCGCTAAATTAAATCTACGTGATCATGTGAAATAACAATAAAACTCATTGTTTCCTTGACAAAATCGTGAAATTAAAACACAGTGAATATACTCACATCAAACAAAACATGTGATTTTCATATTACCTAGAATACATACCCTTACATGTGTATTTTATTTTCAGTTCAGAAACATAATGCCAATTTAAAAGAAGGGGATATTCCAATAAAAAGTGTGATATCACCGGGATTGGGAACATCCGTTGGAAAGATGCCCTCGGATAAATGTGCTGCACAGGTATGTTCAAATACATAACAACCAAGTGTGAGAATGGAGACTTTTCTGAAAATCATGAGTTCAAGTCTTTGCTTCAGGATTTTATTACTTTCATGTCTATTGTTCTCGCATGTAACGTATTTAGTATTGAATGTTTCAGATGAAGTTAGCTTATGATATGTTTGAACTTGGTTTACATCGAGAGTTTTATGAACCTGAACATCTTACCACAGTCTGGGAACATCACTATGTTATGTGTGAGGTAAGCAATGTAATCATATGCCTAATGTAACATACCGGTAATACAGCTTAGACATTCTGAAAATGCATACTTTTTTTTTTCATTGTACATGGTACCTGAACGTTGTCCAAAGCTTTTCAAGTTCATATTGGATCAGATAACTAGGAATTGTGGTTAAAATTGTTCATGTTGGCAAGGCTCATGTGTTTATTTTCAGAACTATTATTCATTCTCATCAAAATATTGGTTAAAATTCAAAAAATGTAATTCTTAAGCAATGCCTGGGCCAGTTTCATTCAAACTTTGTATAAATAACGAGCATGATGTTTTGTTATTTTATTCAAAAAATTCCAGCTGGTTTATGTGTAGATTATACAATTTTGTATATCTTATTTCTAGGAGGCGACACTTTGACCAATAGTAACCTTGGTAAAGTACCATTTGATGTAACATCGTATTTTTAACAGGACTACCGGTACCACTAGCTGACTATAATATCTTATAAGATTCGTAGAAGAATACGTTGTAAAGGATAGATCCACATCACTGTAGTTATCTTCAAGTTATATCCTGCTTGCATTCAGTTTTTCAAAAAAACCTCAAAAATGTTTGCCAAAAATATTCACTGACATTAGAGAATTGACGTGTTGTCACGAAATAAACAAATCTGAGAGGTCCACTCTGAAATAGCAACATGTGTACATATACAATATCAAGGCAATTTGGCTAGCTGTTCTCAATTCATTTTATACCAAAAATATTCACTACAATTAGACTTTGTCAACAGCAAAGCTAAAAGTCTCTCAAATTCTCTTCCTGATGTTTTTAGGACTGCTGTCACACACACACTATAAAGAAAAAACATGAATTAGAGTGCTGCTGTTAGTGCCAGTATAATTATTACCCTTCTTCCTGATTTGAAGACCTTTACGTGGTATGAGAAATGCTAGCCTTGACAGACCACTCATTCATTCGCATATTTAACAAGTGATGCGTGTATATACTTTAAGAGCTGTCGGACAAACTTGAAATATTGTCTGTGGTGAACTACCATCAGCGCTTGTATGTAAATGAAAAATAATGCACAGAGATTGTTTTGGGTAAAATGTACATGTTTATTGATATTTTTAATAAGAAATTGAAAGTTATTAATAAAAATGAAAATGAAAATCTTGTTTTATTGCATAGAATATTCTAAGAATGATCACAGCTTGGCACTGCTTTGACTTCAAACCTATCTATATGTAATAAGTGACCATTTAAAATAGACAACAGCTCAAACTCAAGATGAAAAATATCTGAATTTGAAACCATAGTCATACTAGTATTTAAGCAGTCCCTCTATAGACCAGTCTTGAATCAACAATTGTTTGAGGTATGAATTATTACAATCTTGTATACATATTTGTTTGCACTGCTGGTAGCCAAAAGTCTGTGAAAGTTGTTTTATAGATAAGGATGTGAACAAATTGTTGCCTCATTTCCTGACCTATTATCAAAAGTAAAATCCTAGTTTTGAAAAATTAAGATTAAAGTCATTCATGGGCATTTGACTTGATAAATGGGGGTGAAAAAAATATACTTTGTTTCAAAAGTGATCATAATTATTTTAGACACAAGTCATCAGCTTATTTCGATATATGTTTTTGCTGAAAAAATGCTTTTTGAACAATCCATGTTAAAGTATTTTTTCATAAAACATAAATAGTAAACAGAAATTCCTGATTCAACACAAGTACCTCATAATCATAGGTTTATTTTTCACAATATGTAACAAAATGAAATTGCAATAAGATGAAACCTGTTTTCCCCATGGAAACCAATGGTAACTGGATCATTACTGTCCATGGTTGATTTCTACAACATACAGTTGCGTTTTCTTTGTGGAGCCTTAATGATATGCACAAATATTGTCAAGGCGATGATTCCAATCTGTTGTATTTATTTATCTACTGTTTCAAAGACACTCAAAGACTTCAAGACTGAGCTATAGAGGGACTGTCGTTCTATGCCATAGATGGTAATTTATTAATTTACAAGTATCAATCAAAGTGCTACGGAATCATATTTTACCTAATGAAATCTAAGGTGCCATTGGCAGTGGTAATTACTTGGTACCTATATGAATAATATAATTGTGACATGATTACAGAATTATTCTATTACAAGTGGGAGATACCAGTAACTATAAGCTGCAAAGAGATAAAGTTAGCTTTATAATACATGAATTATTAATACCAGAGGCATACCTGCTGATGGCAAGATACACTTGCCTTGCAACTACTTGCTACACACTGTATATGCAACACTATTAATGGCCTAGTTAGCATGATAGTAATAACTCATTACCCAATCAAATTTATGCAAACATTATAGGAAATATCTTCTAAAGAAATAAAATATAATGGCCAGTTTAAATATTGTATGCTTGACAGTTGTTAGCAGGTCTTTTAGCCAATCCAATCTACTATACCATTGATAGTGGAAAGAGATGAGTCATTACGAGCATTGTAACTAGGTACACTGACAAGCCCCAAAACTACAAACTTTATGATTTGCGTGTAGTGATGATAAGCTAGAGTTTAACAGTTTTGACAATACAGCACCACGTGCATATAGTAGAAAATTATTTTTAAAAAAGAAAAAAAATAGAGGGCAGTGAAGTTTTTAAGATACATTTCTGTCTTGTCATTCAAAAAACAAAATAAAATCTTTTTTTTTTCTTCTATATGTTACATCTTGAGACAAATATAAATTTACAAATATAGAATATATTACTAGCTGAATAATAAAGGTATTAAAAATTCCAATTTGTGAAATAAAATTATGGCTTTAAATGTATGGATTTTTTAATGTCCTCATAATTTGATTAGGGACACTATAAATTCAGTCTTCATTCGAGTTGTATCACCTCATATTTTACCATCTTGGGTTCAATCATATTAACTTGGCTCCACTTTAATAGATACAGATTTTCCATTATCAGTGTTACCTGTACTTACAGTCTGTTCTGTTTCATTGATTGAAATCTCTACAACTGCTGGTTCTTGAGAACATGATTCATCACGAGCAGCACACACAGAGGAACATGCTTTCTCATAAACATTGCTTCCGTACTCTGAGTTATCCTCACGCTCCTGTTTTACCGACACAGACTTCCTTGAATAATAGTCATGAAGTCCTCCCATTGATTTCTTTGGTTTTAGAAAGTGCCTTGTATGTTTATGAACCACAGGTTCTTTTTTAATTTTTGGTCTACCTTTATTAAGTCTCCTCAGTCTTTGTAGTCGCAATACGACAGATTCTAAAACACCTTTGGCAGAAATCTGCTGTGACCTTGTATCAGTTACACCTACTCGGTGGGGCATTGTCTCTCCAATGTCATCATGTACTCGTTTACAAGAATTCTGAGAGTCTTGATTAAAACTTGAGATATCTCCCTTTGACATACCAGTTACAAAATTCTGGTTAGCCAATGACGAAGTTCTAACATCACTTGCGTTTATCTTACATGTGTCCATCTCTGTAATTCTAACAATATTATGACTACTACTATAATCTCCAGGCTGTTGACCTCCATTGAAAGGTGGGAAATCACTCTGACATGCAACTGCATCAACAGCAGTTTGCATTAACGCATTAGCCTCGATAGTATCTAAGCAATTATCTTCCAAGACATTAGTTACAATGGTTCCTGCATTCATCGTCCTAAGTCTCAAGATCTTGTAGAGAGCGTGCATATTACCTACGTTGATACAGTCTTCTGGTTCGTTCAAGTGAGAATTAAATGCCCAGTGTTCATACATGTTTTTATTGGTTGATCTGTCTCCATCGTTCCGTTCTTGTTGATTCTCTTGAAAAAGAAAAATGACCAACTTAGCTTGAGACCTATTATATCAATAACTTTGAGAAATATGGGATTATGCCGTGACACATGTACACAATAGACCACATGGACCTGATAGGTCAAGTCTGTTACCCAGAATGCAGTTTTGTACCAACACAATTCAATGCGCAAGTGAATTACGATTTTGAAGTAGATCTGTTGGATTTCAGCAAAAAACAGCATGATTTAAAAAAAATGGAAATTAGCATGTTATATGTATTACTAGTATATAAATTTGAATACCAGTATTCACAATGTCAAACAATGCTCAAAGACCAGGTCTTATAAATAGACAGTCAAATTTTGAGCATTTTGGAAGGGATGGGCGATTAGCCAAACGTGATCCCAAAAGTAATGTGGAGGGTGGACACTTAGACAGATGAGTATGGTAATTAATAACATTGCTTTTAAGAGAATTGAAATTTTTTTAACGATGTAGTATGTAATTTTTACTATTGTTTTTTGATACTGTATGTTGATAGATACAATTGCACTATGATTTATCATGAACTGAAAGTTTTCTCTCATATGCATGTGTACAGTGTATTTTGGTACGTACAACGAAAATAACACTCACTTTACATGCATACTTTAGTGGGTTTGATTATTGATACAGATGCGTGTCATACAAATCCATTTTTTAGTTGATGACAAATCAAAGTTCAATTTGGACTATAATATGGAGTATCAAACAACAATATTAAACAATAAATTTTCATCCATATTGCATCTTTGAATTGTTGATAGAATTCTGACAAAAAATTCAAAAATAAGCAGTGACTTGCACATTTTGAGTTGATGCACAATGACCAGAAACACAAAAATTTGTTTTCTACACTTATTACTAGTATCATTTCTGTTCAGATTAAAGTTTTCCCTAAAAAGAGTTTATATGTAAGTGATATGATGATTTGCCCTGATGTGTTAAATTACATGACAAATATGAAATAATTAAACACTACACACCTTACTTTGTGGTAGTGAAACCGGTTGAATCCCCTGCAAATGCAAAGCATTGTCACCTTCCAACGTTCTTTTAAGGATTGATCTGGATTCTGTCAAGTTTGAGTTGTTACGAATCATTGCAGTATGGCTGTGTTGTAGAGTGTTGCCATGGATTCGCTCAGATATCCCGACAACTTGGGACTGGTTTGAATGGACAGGTGTCTGGTTTACATGGGGAGTGTGTTCCAATGTACTCGCAGGCATTGTTTGTGGTTTTATCTGTTCCAGATGAACAGGAACTACGCCAGTCTGAATCTGTTCCGAAGTAGTAGTACCTCTAAAGTCCGAGGACCTGGGAGGTATAGATCCCGGTTGGATCTGCACTGGATTAATAGGCATTGTTCCAGTCTCGATCGGTGTTGGAAGGGTAATGTTTCTACTATGTGGTAAAAATCCAGTTTGCATCTGTGCCAGACTGACAGGCATTGTTCCAGTCTGGATCTGTACCGGTTGAATAGGCATCGCTCCTGTCTGTAACTGCGTCGAAAGGGTAGTGTTTCTACTATGTGGTAAAAATCCTGTTTGGAACTGTGCCGGATGGGTACTGTTTCCAGTTTGGATTTGAGATGGATGGGTACTGTTTCCAGTCTGGATCTGTGTCAGATGGATATTGTTTCTACTATGCGGTAAAGATCCAGTTTGGATCATAGATGGATGAGAAATGTTTCCAGTCTGGATTTGTGCCAGGTGGGTATTGTTTCCAGTATGGATCTGTGCCAGATGACAGTTGCTGTCAGTCTGTATCTGTGTCGGGTGGCTATTATTTCCAGTCATGATCTGTGCCGAATTAGTGCAGTTTCCAGTCTGGTTTCGTATCGAATGAGTACTATTTCCATGTTCTGCAGCTAATTTTTGTTGAAATGATGTAGAATTTACTTTGACTCTGTGGTCATTAATATAAGGCTGTTTTGCTGTTATTACAGTGTTTTGATTGATAGTACCTTGAACAGTACATATAGGCAAGGTTTTTTGCACCACTGTCTGCGCCTCACTTCTCTTAACTTCTACAATAGTTTGTGCTCCAACAGACAGAATAGATAGCACAGGCATGCCCTTAGTTGCAACAGAATCTTTCGTATGTACAGTTAGACCATTTGAGAAGATACTATCAGGAAACATTGATCCATGTTGAAACCTTGATTTCACTTTTGACTGCATGCTTTGATTTGTTGCTTTTATACGATTGGTAAGAACTGGTGTTGGTTTGATTATTTTATTGCTGTTTTGAGTATTGGCACCTGGAGACTGAATGCAGTAAACTGAATTTAAACTTGGAGTCTTGACACTAGTGGCAGCAGTTGGCATATGTTCCTGTGAAGACAATGAAGTAGGAACCAATGGAAAAGTTGAACTGGTATTTGGCACAAATGAATGAGATAAACTAACTGGAACAGGGTTTGCCGAGTTCTGCTGATTTGTCATGTTTTGCTGATCATGAGAAAATGATACATTGGTTAACGTAGCATACTCTGGACTGGGAGCTACTGAAATTTGTCCTTGCTGCAGACTGGTATTTGCCATATCAAAGTTAGATGTCTTTTGATTAGAACTTAGCTGACTGAACATTGTTGGCTGAACAGATGAAGAATAGTTGGGGTACTTCTCCATTGGTTCTGTTTTTATTTTCTTTGATAGTGGTGTATCAGAGTGATGTCCAACCACTGTCCAATCACTGGGTTCTGATTTGATATTAACTGTTGGGTACTGTTGGTTTGTATATATACTACTTGAGCCATCCACACCATCGCTTCCAGGATTCCAGCTAATCTGTCTATGTTGTACTGGCTGTCCTACCAATCCCACACCTTGACTAGTATTTGCAATACTTTGTTGTATTTCAGTCCCAGTTGAGCTACTTTGTAGACTTGGTACAACAACAGAACTATTCTGTAGTCTGTTGTAAAAGTTAATACTTGGTTGTAGACTTGATGTGATATTATTTGGAGAACCAGTAATACTATGTTTAGGTACTAGGGTACAGTTTGGAGGAGCTGATCCATTATTTTGCTCTCCTATTTGCAACCACTCACTGATTTGTTGTTTACTTTTCTCCCAGGAAGCAGCAGACTGACTATTCATATCAGTAGTGTTGTTAGATGTGTAGTTACACTGCGATGTCATTGTACTACATGGCTGTTCAGTGCTGCTTAGTCTAGGAGGGGCATATGCCATCAAGTTTTGCAGCTTCCTTACTTCAATGTGTGAAGTTTTACCTTGTGACTGAGCATTTTGCAAACCAATAGAACTGACACTTGGCAGTGAAGCAGGGATATCACCAGACTGTGTTGAATACAGCGAAGTTAAAGGAGGGACATTAACCGTGGACATACTGTTTGTAAAAAAATGACTGACAGCAGGCAGTGGACCATTCCTTGGAATTTCATATCTTGTCTTTTGTAGATAGAGTTGAGGGACTGTACTTTGAGTGGTATAACTAGCAGGCATCGTAGACACATAGCTTACTGGTTGGTGCCATGTACTGTCTGTGGACACACTCTGTGTGGATGGTATAAACACACCACTACTGTTTCTATATGTAGTAGGTTGGATTCAATGTTTATATTGGATAAATTGGCAGGGTTACTAACAGCAGTATTACCAGAATCACTTGAGGCAAATGTCCAATTTGTATTTTTACTTTTTCCATCTCCAGTCAAACTAGGCTTTTCAATTTTCACTGTAACGAAAAAATAGGTTTGAGTGGTGACAAATAAAGATTGAAAAAGTTAAACAAAATAAAGCTGAATGTGAAGTATCTTTTATTCACATCTGATGTTCTGTAGGCCATTCTACATGAACTCTGAACAAATTGTGTTCCTGATTGGCTACTGATCTATTGAGACCTTCTTTGCATATCTCATTTGTCAGAAGTTGTTAGAAGCAAGGTACTTAGTGTGGTTGAGATTGAAACCAACAATGCCATGTATTTCAGAAATTATTAAATATTTATAATCACTAACGTTTGTATGAGCGTGTGCAGTGACTACGTCTGTTATAATTTCTGTATGATTGAAGCTTCATAGAATAAAGTGAAACACTTGTCTACCCAAACAAATCGTCTCATTTGAATTTCAAATGAAAATTGTTCCAAACAGAGATGGTGGTTAACCTACTCAATTACACGAGACAATGCATAAAATTATTGGCTGTTACAACAACACACATGTTTGAAGTTTTCAGCAACTTATTTATTTGATTTAAAATGTCAACAATGACACAGAAATGACACTTGTAGCAGTGAGACCAGTATGGTGGTAAAACACAGCACTGTGGCAGTACCAACATGCTATCTGTTTGTATTCTGGGGAGAACACTGCAGGTTGATTCTAAATCATTTTAGGATTCATTTTGAAAAATTTTTCATACATCATGTATCACAGAATAAACTGTTTATAAACCTAAATATTTACAACTCAAATAGCAGTTATACATTGTATGAGCATGTATAGTGACTTTGGCTGTTTTAATTTTTGTCAAGATTGATGTGAGAGTGCTATTAGCAAAATGGAGGAATCTGCATGCCTAGAAAATCATGTAGCTTGAAAACCGATTTTAAATAAAACTAAATAAGGTAACTAAATATTTCAAGTATAAACTTTAGTATTTCAGGGTGATGTTTTGTTGTGTATATGTCAATTTCATTAAAAATGCCCTGCTGAGAAGTTAAGTAACTATTAGCGTTCAAGATTAATAATGGCGCAGCCAAAATCAACTTTGAAAACCTTGCAGTTGTTGATCCTACATCAAACTTTTCCAACAGGATCTGCTATTTATTCAAAAAAATTACTGTTTTTGGTAGTAGCAAGTATTTCGCCAGATTTGTGAAATACTCTGTGATGGGAGCAATTAAGAATCTATAATCATGTAATCTTTGAATAGTTAATTTACTCAAAATAAAGACATATATTGCGTGGCCGTCAGATTAGATAGAATTAGATAGTATTAATTTCAACATCAATTTTATCAAGTGTTTAATAATTCTGTGTAATCTTGGTCGGAATTTCGAAATACTAGTCACTAAAATCAAAGAGATCGACAAAACCAATGAAGATAATAAATTAATACATCCAATGATCATAAAATAATCGAAATGTTGCGAAGGTTTGAAATATTTGTAACGTAAACAATCAACAAGCACTGAAACAGAAGCGTTGCATAGAGTCTCGGCAAGGTCCTAAGACGCAGTTTGAATTGAGATTGCCAAATACACAACAAAGAATGCACTATGTAATGCTGCAATTTAAAAATCAATTTGCAAACATTATTGATCCCTGAATATTGGAGATTCATAAATATATAAAAATAATGAGAATATTTACCTCCGAGTTCTTGATTTTGGCGAATTCTGACGCGATCTTCGTCCACAACCCAGCTCTGGGCCGCCATTTTGAAATAAATATGGCATACGCCACCTACGGCGATATCACAAAAGACTTTTACGTCACGGGAGTGATCGGCTTATATTATTATAATTTATGCGTATGTAGACTGCATCACATAAATTCATATACAATGTATATATAAACATATGTAATAGATATTTTGGTATTTTTGTTCTTAATAATAACAATAATGTATTGCATCCTTAGAAATGCAATTTATATCTGGTCTGACTAAATTCTTCTATAAAACTTCAGTTTAAAGCGCGCATGTGCGACATTTGTGTTGATAAACATTGATTTTCCCACAATCAAATGAGGTTTGACCTGGGCGCGACTTGCATTGATTACCGCCGGTGACTCCTTCGGTACCTTCCAATAACATGAAAATTGCTTGGAAACGTCTCATTTCGTACTCGTTGATCTGCGAAACAGTCAAAGTCGCCGTCTTTGTTTATATGAGACCCATATTTCTTGCACATGCGCAGCGCGACGACTACCGCGCTTTAAAATACAGCTCAAAATCTAGTTTGTTTTATCACCAATTTTACTAATTACAAAACAAAAATGACAATGCATATATGGCCCAAACAAGTATGATTCAGTTCTCATTTAACTTTTAATTCAAGTTCTTTATTCTACAGTTTGACTAAAGTAGAGACAAATTTCTTCATTTTCAGAAAAAGTGGTGTATTACTATTAGTTTCCATGACAGGGTCAATAGAAAGCACTGTCAAAGTTTTATTACGACGTCAAAGCCTGAACTCTACGTACCCGGTAATGCTAAAAACACACATGTAAACCTATTCTATATACTATATAATTTTAAATTCGTAATAGTTTCGTACTTTGCTGTATAACTTCTTTCTCATGTTCTTTATTGTAGTCGTGAGGTCCTGATTTGTTATTTCTCCACATATTTGTAACTTCCAGCTCATGATTGACTGAAGTATTGGAAGAAGCATCAATTCCGAAAGGACATAACAATTAGAAAAATCATGGTGGTGAGATTGAGGGTAGAACTAGTGAAACTATTTTTTTCTTTCGCTTATTTTTGAGGTAGATTTTTCTTTCGGGATTATATTGCTATAATTCTATAAAAGTACAATTTTTTCTTTCGATGCAAATCTATCTCACTTTTAAATGCATATAGAAAGGATTGGGCATCGGCGTCAATATGAAATAACTGTAGGCAGATTTTCCAGTTGCTTTATGTATGGCTCAGGCTAGTTGTTTGTATCGACTCTGACTACACAAATGACCAACTACCTACACAAATCACATTCATATCTTGCAGCAAACAATCAGAACTTGCTTTCATAATCTATTCATAGTCATTGGTTGTATTCAGGCTACTAGTATGCTGTAAACATCAGACAACTATTAATAACTGGGCAAATTCGGTCCACTATATATATAGTCCAGTCTGATCGGCAAGAAAACAGTATTAGTGATTTTCGTTGTTTCGGAGCGTTGATACTTCAATTTAATGACATATGCTTGCTTTACATTACCAAACAGTTTTAATTATATAATTTCCATTATTTTGAGCAAGGGTAAGGCCCTGTACCGAAACATAGTCGCTCCGTCACATAGACGTCAATGTATTGACACGAATAGATTGTCAGGCCCCTGTGAGTAAAATAAGGTTTAGCCAAGTCAGTTGTATACATCCCCGTGTTGAGGGACGGTGCATACCTACTATATACGGAGTTTACCTTTTGCTATGGGAGCCATCATGATTTGAGAAAATACAGCGTCTGCGCAGATTGTTTACGCACGAAACAAACTTAAAGCGGGAGGGTCGTCCCCTGCGCACGCGCGGGAATTGAGTCCCAAGCGACGATAACAATACAAGCTAAAAATGCAAAGGCTCATGGGTAGACGCTTGTTTGTAAACAACGACACGATATGGTCAACTGACGCATGCGCAGGTGACGACTCCCCCGCTTTAAAATAATCCCCAACTACTCGTACATTCGATTTCACGTAAATGATCAGAAATGGGAAGATTGATTACGTAACCATTAACACGATATTATATGTTTACAGTAAATACGTTCTACTGCTTTCTACATGAATATACATTTTAGTCAAAATCCTAATAGGGATACAAACGCAATAAAGATAAATATTATATATATAATGTGCACACACCAAATAAACAATGAATAACTTATTATAATACACATTCCAGGTTGAATCTATATTTTCCACAGCAGACTGGAAATACGAGTACCACATTTCAAATGAGTAAAAAATAAAATGAAAAGCATGCGACAAACAAAATAAAAATCAAAGAAAGCTCAGAAAGAACTCCCATGTGATGAGAGTATTGGAGACACATTAAATATAATTCGAAAATACTTGTACTTGAGATATTGATGGAAAAGCTAAAAACTAATTATGCAAATCAGAAAATTAATATGAACAGATTTGAGTGTAAAACTAATGAGGTCTGCGCAATGTAACAGAAAATCTATGTACCAAGTTTTATTGAAAATGTGATTAGAACCAACAAAATTACTAATTATTATTCTAATTAGGGATTGATATGAACAGATTTTTACCCCAAACTAATTAGGTTTGTACATTGTCCTAGAGCATCTTTGTACTAAGTTTCATTGAAATGGAATAATTAGTACTTTAGATATCAGTGTGAAAGCTTAAAATTGGTTACTTATGCAAATTAGGTAATTAATATGTACAGATTTTAACCCACAATTATCCAGGTCTGCCGATTGTCCTACAGCATCTATGTACAAAAAATCATTGAAATGTGATGATAAGTACTTGAGATATCAGTGTCAAAGTTGGAAATTGGTTAATTATGCAAATTAGGTGATTAATATGCATAAATATTTTACCGAAAACTAATTGGGTCTCTATAGTTCTAGATTCATTGAAATGTGATGATTAGTACTTTAGATATCAGTAGAAAAGCTGAAAATTAATTATGCAAATTAGGTAATTAATATGCACAATTATTTACCCTAAAACTAATCAGGTCACTACATAGTCCTAAAGGGTATATGTACAAAGTTTCATTGAAATGTGATGATTAGTACTTGAGATATCCGTGGAAAAGCTGAAAATTAACTAATTATGCAAATTAGGTGATTAATATGCACAAATATTTACCCTAAAACTAATCAGGTCACTACATAGTCCTAAAGGGTATATGTACAAAGTTTCATTGAAATGTGATGATTAGTACTTGAGATATCCGTGGAAAAGCTGAAAATTAACTAATTATGCAAATTAGGTGATTAATATGCACAAATATTTATCCCGAAACAATCAATCTCTGCATAGTCCTTGAGTATCTAATTACTAAGTTTCATTGAAATGTAATTCTCACTACTTATATCAAAAGCTGAAAATTAATTAATTATGCAAATTAGGTAATTTATATGTACTGATATTACCATAAAACTATCAGGTCTGTGCAGTGTCATATGACATCA